TCTGATCTTTGAAAAGGAGAAACTGACATGTCTTGCATAACTTTTGCCAATCTTCCTCTTCTCGAAACCTACGCTTGAAACAATCACACGCTAAGTCGTTGACTTAGTGAGGCATATAAAACATAAACTATAACCATATATCATTTCATATAAACAAAAGGTATACATATGCAAATACTATCATATTATATAAAAACATATATCATTAACATGCCTTTCAATACTCATATTATTGTTACTAATTTCTTGTGATCATATAAGCATGTGTTGAACATTTCTATACATATCATAGAACACATATATTTCACAAAGAAACACCCATAACATCCTATAATCCATGCAATACTTTTCATATCACCACAAGCATATGCATCTTATATATTGTATTTGTTAGTGTCTCTTTATTAACCCATGGTACACTGGTGAGAACTGAAGGTATGTGAGTACACCGAGGTTGTGCAAAAATGTTGTCACCACAGCTCGTATAAATTTGCACCGTAATGCCACGTAGAATTTGCACCGAAGTGCCACGTAGAAATGCACCGTAGTGCCATATAAGATTGTCCATAAGGACCACATATAAATTCCTTAAGAATCATACACATATACCAAGGGTCAAGTAGGTGTCTCAAAAGACCTTATACATGTTCCAAAGAATACATATACGTCCCGAAGGATCACGTAGAATTTATCCCGAAGGACCGTGTAGACCCTCTACTCTTGGCATGCCAACTATACCTATAGCTCTCGTATCATATAACATGGGCATTATTCTTATGCTTCATATATTCATGTACTCATATCATTGCTCTTATGATCACATATCACATGTGCATATAATCACGTAGTTTACTTTCATGTCACTTTTCATATGAATTTATATTCATATGTCACATAGCTCGTACCACTTTGCATGGATTCACATAAACACATATATATCATTTAATTCATGTCTTATTCTTATATTATCATATATATTTCATCTATGTTTCATCACCTAACCTCATATCATATAACATGCTTTATTCTCTTATGTTCACATGACATATAATGCATACAAATTATATTCACATATGCCTTTACTCACAAATTCATATATCATACAAATCATGTCATTCACATCCTTATAATCAATACTCCATACACTATAACTATTGGAAATATACTTATCACATGTCTAATTTCTTATAATCTTATAAACTAAAATGCACTCATGAAAATCATATCAATCATATAACATTTTAGGAGTCACTTCTTACCATAGTAACTCCGTCACTGGCTCATCGTAAGCCAATATTTTTCGATAGCATCAGTACAATTAAATTGCACTCACCTTAGCCTTGCTTTGATTCAATCCTAATCTCTTTGATTATTCCGGAACTTGTTTAGGCTCAATATCTACATAAATATAACATTTCAAAACAACTATCAGAAGCCTAAACATTAAACTTGATGTTAACAACTTAAGCCAGATTATTGAACCAAATTTCATTTTTGCTTTAGGGGGTATCGATTCCCCCCCAGGGGGAATCGATACCCCTTGAACATACTGGAAATTTTTCGTTCAAGAAGGGGAATCGATTCCCCTTCATAGGTATCGGTTCCCTCTGCCCAGAAATTGTACTTTAAGCCCGAAAATCATCAATTCTTACTCAATTCTTCTATTTTAAACCCCTATCATATCATTAAACTCAACTACCATTACTTAAACCAACTTATATCCATGAAAATCATCTATAACTTAAAAATTCTATTCCTCATATGTAATTCAAGAATCATACTCAAATTTCAATATGTTCTAAATACAATTCTAACACTTCATATTCCTTAATTATCATGATGACAAGTCAAATTTAACTTCAAATTCAACTTATCAACTCTTTTTCATGATTTCATATAAAAACTCGTTTTCTTAATTCTCTTATAACTTCTTCATCTTTTGATTATAAGACAATTTAAGTTTTCCTTAAGCTTAATTACCATCTAATGATCAAAACCTAACCTTTAATTTAACAAATAATTAACAACTCAGAAAACCCTTACATTTGCCTAGCTTCCAAGGTTGGGAGAAGAAGAAAGGAAGAAGAAAGAGTTTTCATATAACTCTTTCCCCCACCTCCACGTGATTCAATCATATTATTGGGGAAAAATATCTTTCATGCTAAATGACCATTTTGCCCTTTAATTCTTTTGATAATTACTAATAACTTTAAGGAAAATATCCCCAAATAAATCATTGAATTATTCAACTATTTTACTTTGACCAACAAATTTTGAAATATTTCAATTTGGTCACTAACCCGATATTGAGGATGTTACAGGTAAACTATCCATTTAGTACCTAAACTAACATTTTTGATTCGTTTTAGTATATAAACTTTTGATTTTTTCAAAATCATACCTAATGTTTAGTTTTCATTTCATTTTAGTATCCCACTATTAAAAACTTAACGTATTTAGTATCAAAACTATCAGTTTTGGTCTGTTTTAGTGTCTAAACTTTCAAAATTTTCAAAACGTAACATTAAATTTTGAATGGAGTACTAAAATGAAACAAAAAAAAATAAAGTTTTTAATGATGACTTACTAAAATGAAACAAAAACTAAACTTTAGGTATAATTTTAAAAATTTAGGTACTTGAATATACCAAAATTGATAACTTAGGTACTAAATATGTAGTTTACCCATATTTTTAGTACTTACTATATTATAGTATTTTTTAAATTATATTATACATGTAATTTTTATTTAATTTCATTATTTAAATGGATATGTTTTTAAGTTAATTTTAAGGTTTGTGCACCCTGTCACGGATTAAGTCCGTGACAACCCGCTCTCTTTTTTTGGGGTCTGTGGCATTTAATATGTATTATAATTTTTCTTTAATTTTGTTTAGTCGATAGTGGTACTGAATTTGATGTTCATCCTTGACCGTCGGGTTTTTTTCTTTGTTTTTATTTTTTTAATAAAAATAACTCTAGTTTTATGTCATATTTTTTCTGTTTTTGTGACATGTTTTTTTATTTTCTTTCTCGATTGTTTGTTCATTATTTTTATTTTATATTTTCTCAAGATTGAATTTGATGATTCCACAACTTTCGCTTATTTATAGGGGTGTTCAAAGTTCAGTTTTTACTGAATTAGCCGACCATATCAAAGTTTTTTCAGTTAATCCGTCGGTTAATTTTTGGTTTGATTGGTTAACAATTAATTTTTTTAAATTTCTATTATCGGTTAATTCAATTCGAAATCGGTTAATTAACTGAATTAATTGAAGTTTGAAATATTTAATATATTATACATATAATTTATAAATTACTTACTCTTAATAGTATAATTTTCGGTTATTGCTAAACTAATCAATTGAATTATATATATAAATTTTGGTTAATTCGATTAGCTGGTCGATTAAACGAAATTTATTTGGTTCGGTTAAAAAAATTTGAAAAAAAATAGTTCGGTTAACGATTAAGAGAAAAAAATTCGATTAACGATTTTTTTATAGTTCGGTTGAGTTGATTGACTGAACCGACCGATTAAACACCCCTTCTTATTTGTAATTCCGTTGATTTTCTTTGCTTTGGGCCCTCATATTGAATTTGAATACGATGTTCTGAGTGTGTTGATGATTTCTCATTATATTCGGTTTTGATTTACGGTTCTCAATGGTCTTTTAGTAGCTTGATTTCCTTTTGTGGATCGTTTGTCGATGCAGTCAGATATGTGCGTATCAATTTTCGTTCGAGTATTTTAGTTGAGTTTTTAACCTTTTCCATGTATAATCCTTTTATGATCTAAATTGATTAATTTTTTGTGTCAATATTATAATAAAATATCCTAATTGTATGTTTAGTTTATCACAATAATTGTAATTCTCTTTATAATTTTGAATATTCTATTTTTAATAAAACTAACCATTTTTATTAAATATATATATATATATATATATATGTCAAATAAAAAATTATTTTAATTTTGTCAATTTAATCATTCTAACTTTATAAAAAAATTAAAAGTAGTTTTTTAAGAAAAACCCTAGCCCTTTTTTCCACTTCTTTATATTTCATACTTTTCTTCTTTACAATTTGTGTCAATTTTTTTGATCAATCCAATTTTTTTCTTCTTTAATTTTGTTTAACCGGTGGCGGCATTGATTTTGATGTTGATTGCCGCCCGTCAATTATTTTTTCTCTATTTTTTAGTTTTTTAATAAGAATAATTATGTCTTTGTGATATTTTCCTCTGTCTTTGTGATATGTTCCTCTCTTCTTTTGTGACACATTTTTCTCTGCCTTTTGGTAGATTACGGTTTTTAACCGTTGTTTTCATTTATTTTTTTCTCAATATTAGATTTGACATCGTCATGACTGATCAAAATTACGCTTATTTGTTATTATGATGATCTTCTCTGCTTTGGACCCTCAGATTGATTTGGATACACATTTTGCATTTAGTGGACAATTTTTTCACGTTACTTGACTCAGATTTGTGATTTATCGGTGGACTTCAGTAGCTTCATCTCCTTTTGTGGTATGCCTGTCGATGCAGTCAAACTTGTTCGTATCTTTATTTTGTTTGAGCTTTTTAGTTATGTTTTTTAGACTTTTCCTTATTTGGTCATTGTATGATATAAGTGGCTAGTTTTCGTGTCAACGGTTTTAAGAAAATATCATAATTATACTTTTTGCGTTATATTTATAAATATTTATATTTTTTATTTTTAATAAAACTAGCGAATTTCCGTAAAAAAACTTTATAAAATTTTTATTATGTTTTTTTCACTCAATTTGTTTTATCGAATGGATTCAATTATTCAAATGTAATAGAATAATGACAACATTAATAAACTTCGAAGTTATTGATTTTTATTATTTAAGCAGTTTACATATAACAGTTACAGAATTTTCTCTTTTTTCTGATAAATAAAACATTTAAAAAATTAATAAATATTGATTTAATATTGTTACATAACAAATTAAATTAAAAAGTTAATTGAATCCTAAAATGGATGAACATTTCTGCTAATTCCATTGACGTTGGTGAAAAAACCAACCTGCCGTATCGGCAAATACGACCGCCGTTTATCACCTTCCCTCTTGGCTCTGTTCGTGACGTAAAGCTTTTCGTGAGCCGACAACGACGCCGTTTTCTCACCCTTCTCTCTCTTCCCATTCGGCGGTTTCTCTCCGACCACCTTCACCTTCGCTCTCCTCTCCTCCTCCATCTCCTTCCTCCTCTCCATTTGCGCCGCCGAAGCGGAGAAAGGAAACGGGTGGTTCAACAAGACGAACGCGTCTTTGCTGTCGCTGTTACTCCGGAGCATAAAATCTCGAACCCTCCGAAGCTTCGAGAATCCCGTGGAGTTGCTCTTCTTACACGTGTCCGGTGACGTCGCCTCCACGGTTATTCTATCATCTCTTTTCCACTCGCAGTACGGTCTCACAAGTTCCAACGCGTCCAGCGAATCTTCCACGAAAAGCTTCCTCAGCGGCGGCCGCGGTGACACGTCACCGTCTTTCGAATTCGAAGCCGAGCCGTTCTCATCGGCGAAGAGAAGATCTTGGTTGAATAAGGGGAACACGTCGTCGGCAGAAACCGGCGATTCATCGGCATTTACACAAACAAACGAAAACTCGTCGTCTTCCTCCTCCGTCCCGTCTTCTTTGAGCTGTAATTTGAATTCAAAATCGCCGTCATAGTCGTCGGGATACTTATTAAAGCTCGGTGATAAAGACGGAGAAGAATCCATGGCACGCAACTTCAACCGAAACACAGTTACCTCAAAATCAAATAGATAAATGGAAAATTGTAGTCTGTGGATTTGAAGCTATGGGGCGTTAATAAATAAATTACGAACTCGGAAAAATTAGAGGAAAAGTAGGTAAAAGCCGGCGACACTCTAGATGAACAGAGAAACAGAAAAGGTAAACAACGACGATTCTATGTCCGAATTTTCGTTGGAGGCACCTACTTGCAAATTGAATTTTGGTAAATTACACAAGCCATCATTCAACTTTCTAATCATTCTTATTTGGTTAATGAAATATTTTTTAAAATTTGATCGCTGCACTTTTTAAATTGCTCTTGTTTTGGTTACTCAGTTGTTTATCTATCTAACTATGTGTTGACTTGATATTTTTATTGGTATTTTTTAGATTGGAAACTGTATTGATTGTCATTATTGTCGAAACGATTTTTAAACGGGGCGTGGGGTGAGATTTGGAAACCGCGTCATTTTTAATTATTCTCTTTTCAATTGAATTTTTAATTAAAAACGATGCAATTTTAGAAAACCTCTCGTTTCGAAAAATTGGAAATTCCGTTACGGTAAAAATATAAGGTTCGAGGAGTCGCCACCAATCTTTGATTAGGGTGTGATTGGGCACCCAAAAACATTTTGTCATTTTAAATAAAAATTAATTTTAATTAAAACGACAAGTAGAGGTCTGCGTTATCAAAATCTGAGTTCGGGAGTCGATTACGTATGGGGAAGGATTAGCACCCCCACAACGCCCTAAATCGGTACCTAGTCGATTAATTAATTTCTTTGCAACGAATTTCACAAGTTCAAATTTGATTTGATTAATGATCCCTTTAAACGACAAACATGCAAATTTGCAACATTCAAAGCAACAAAATAGATTTAACTTAAAATTACCAAGTCATTAGAAAGATAAAGAATATTCGATTATTTAAAAATATCGAGACCAGATCTTTAGTTCAGTTCTAACGACCTTTTCTCGAAAAGTTTAAATAGTCGAATATTTCCTTTTCTTTCGCTCCCAAATTTTACAATGATATATCCAAATTTAATTAGGCGTTACTGACGGGATACCATTTTAATTTAAAATCGTCAAAACAACTTTCCTGTAAGTTAAGGAAAGCCATTCTGATAATTTTAGATTAGAAGGGCATTACCCTTAATTCCGATTATGCAATAATGTCAAGTTATGCATATGAGGATATCATGCAAATCATACAAAGTGATGTTAATGCAAAGATTAATTGAACATGCGATTAAAGTAAATGAGGCTAACATGCTTTAAAAAGAAATACACCTAAGTGCGTATGGACAACATGCTCGAAATAATATACACATGCAACATATTTAAAATAAATCTAATTAGCCTAACAAACATGCATAAAATATTAGAAGGACTAAAATAAAAAGTTAAACAGCAAGTTCATTTTCATAAAAATTCCATTTTCATGTACTGCAATCATAATATAACCCAAAATATTGCATAGGACTAGATTGAAGGTTTTCCAAATTACATATCCAGTGTATAAATAACATGAAAATAGCCAAAACGTGATATAGGACCAAAATACAACACGCTGCAAGTTAGGAGGCTAAATTAAAATCCAGCGAAAGTTCATGTTTCAGGACCGAAACGAAATGCGCTCAAAATCAAGAGACAAAAGTAACATTACAAGTTTACAACAAACAACCATTTAGGGACCAAACCGAGACGGATCAAAGATTGAAGGACCCACGCAGCTACTAACCCACTATCCCAAAACGCGGATTACTCCCCCTGCTGTCAAGGCGCTGCCGTTTTGGCACCGACCAAAACTATGCCGTTTCACGGCCTCCTACACGACGCCGTTTTGGCGTTATGACAAACGGAACATTAGGGTAAACTCCTAAACCTGAACCCATTCTAACCCTTACCCTAAACAACTCTCAGCCGTTTTCTCTCAACCTTGGCCAGATACCCTACCGTTTCTCCTCAAATCCCTCTCCTCTCTTCGCCTAACCCTACGCGAAAGCCAGAGCCTCCATGGCTTCGCCGTTCTACGCTCCGATGAGGAGCTCGTAAGCCCCCAACGACAACCCCAGCCGAACTCTTCCTAAAATAAACACGACCCTAACCCGTGACTCAAACCAAACCCTCGAATCCCACTCTGTTTCACTCTCCAGTCAAAGACCAACGCCGTGGCCAACCTTGCACCACTGGTTCCGATGAGAAACCTAGACCCCTCGGTTCCCTCACTCTCCCTTTACCCAGAAACCTAGCCTCATAGAACTCGAACTCAAGCTTCCTAGACCTGAAAACCCCTCAAGTCCCTAAACCGGAGGCCCAAACAGGCATGCACGACTGGAAAGCAATGGAAGACGAAGGGGTTTACCTTCGATTCGATGAGGTATTGGTTCCTAGCAAAGATGAAGAACGTATCTGGGCAGGAAAGGTAAGGATTTCTGACTTTTGGGTTTTCTAGCGGCTGATGGCTTTTCGTTTGAATCTTCTCTCGATGATCACCGGTTTTGCGATTATGTTTTTCTGGTTTTGTGTTTTTTTTCTTTTCGATGATAGCTAATGAGTTGATCGATTTTTTGCTTGGATCATGATTGATAACTTTAGGGTTCTCCTTCTCTGATCATCCATCCTCTTCGGTCCCTCTCTATATCTGTTTTTTGTTGTTGGTTTTCTCTCCTCGATTTCTCCGTGCCTCTCGTTCTGCTTCTTGTTTCGTGTGTTTGCAGGGCACTGGCGAGAGCAGATCACGGGCGGCAGCTGTGGGGAGGCGAGCTATTGTCCGGTTGGGCGTGCGTGATCTGGCAGCAGGGTTGGCTTCCCGTGAGACTGCAGCTGGCTCGGGGATTGCTGGGAGTTGGGAACCGTTGGATCTTGAATCCAGATCCAACGGCCTTCAATGATACGGCGCTGGAGGCTGTGACATGGAACCCTAACGGGTTTAGGTTTTCCAGAGTTGGGCCCATAACAACCGGGCTGTTGTGTTTTTCATTGTTTGGTTCGGCCTGTAACAAAATGGCAATATTTAGTGCATATTTTATATATTTATTATTTAATTATTTAACTATTTAATTACTTATCCGTATATATATATATATATATATAATACATAATACCAAACTTATGCTAATAACCGAAATTGCAATAAAAACAATAATAAAACCCGATTAAACACGAATAACACCCCGGACAAATTGAGCGTCTACAGCTGCCCCTCTTTGTTCATTGTCGTGGAACGAGAATAGAGCAAAGATCAATGGATGGTCAAATTTGTCCAGTCGTGAAAAATTCAAAAGATTAATCCGCTTCACTACAACTTCAGGATAAGCGAGACTTGAAAAATTCTTCAAAATCGGGTTCGCTCCCTATCGTTTCAGGGAACATAGAACTTGAAGAATCTTCTGGGGACGGGTTCGCTCCCTATTGTTTCAGGGAGTATAGAACTCGAATAATCTTCTGCTAACGAGTCCGCCCCCTATTGTTTCAGGGAGTATAGAACTCAAGAATCTTCTGCTAACTGGTTCGCTCCCTCTTTCTTCAGGGAGTATAGAACTCGAATATCTTCTTCAAACAGGTTCGCTCCCTCTTTCTTCAGGGAGAATAGAACTCGAATATCTTCTTCAAACGGGTTTGCTCCCTCTTTCTCTAGGGAGAATAGAACTCGAATATCTTCAACAATCGTGTCTGCTCCCTATTTCTTCAGAGAGTATGAGACTCGAACAATCTTCAACAATCGCGTCTGCCCCCTATTTCTTCAGAGAGTATAAGACTCGAACGATCTTCAACGATTGTGTCTGCCCCCTATATCTTCAGAGAGTATAAGACCCACAATCTTCATCAATTGCGTCTGCTCCCTATTTCTTCAGAGAGTATGAGACTCGAACAATCTTCAATAATTGTTGGGAATCTGCAAACATTTAAAATAATCATGCAATGTCATGATCCTATTCATGCCTACGATGTATGCAATATGAAATTTAATGCACTTTCTTCTTCGACAGAATACTATCCCCTTTGATTTCAATGGAACTCGGTTTCGCTTTGGGCATAGAGCATTTCACCCGTTCACCCCAGTTGATACTCTCAATACTATAACTTTTGGCTTGACAAGACTTTGACTTCTTCTTTCTTGAGGCCTGCCAGTACCCCTGACCAATCTTCTTGATAAATGACAACATCCTTGGGTCATCCATTAATGGCTAAGATTGTCTATGAATCCCAAGTTTTAGCTTTTCGCAACCCTACAGCTTATGGGTTAAAACCTTACTAGCTTCAGAATACCTGCATTTCCAAAACCTTTTGCATAATAATACAAATGATCTCATGTACCACAAGTTAAGCTATACGTTTTAACTTTTTCAAAATTAGATGCTTGTAAAAGGGAAATTAAGGGGAAAATATCTCTTTATTTATATAAATGCGAAGAATTTTTAGACAACTACATGACAAACTTTTAATCGGAAAAGAACCAAAGGATAGGTGTCTTCAAATATCAATAACACAAATGCTTTTGAACTGGCCGTCAGAATGACTCGAGTGTAGCTTCTGTGAAAAGGATCTCCAAAATTGTGATGACACCTAAGAGTGCGAAGCTCTTTCTGAACCCCAAAATCTCCCATTAATCTTTGGTCTCAATCCCAACTGCCATTGTCGTTACCCATGTCAGGAGCTCTTCCTACTTCCAAAAACAATTCAGATTATCCACCATGCACGAACTCTGAATTTAAAACTCAAGTCGCCCTTTACGGTTTTCGACTCGAGACCTCCTTTGGTTTCAAGACGCCCTTTTCGAGTTTTCATCTTGAACCCTTCTTTTTTCCATTTTTTCATTTTTATTTTTTATTTTTTTATTTTTTTATTTTTTCATTTTCACTCATTTTTCTTCTTCTTTTTTCTTCAAGCAAAATACTTCTTAACTGCGTCAGAATTCACTGGATGAGGTAATTCAGACCCATCCATCTCAGTTAAGACCAGAGCTCCCCCAGAGAAA